ATAATTGGAATACATACTATTTTAACATATACAAAAATATTTAAAAAATAAAACCTTTTTCAAAACCATTGCCTTTAAAGTGACATTTTTTGAAAAAAATTGAGTTTGAGAAATAAAGTTTTAGGGCCGACTAGGTTTGGGGAAAAGCTCCTCCAGATTGGGATACTTTTATAACGTGAAAAGTGAGATTATAATATTGATATTTTTAACATATACAAAACATACTTTTTGATAGAAGAATTGTGCTTTCAAAACACGTTTTTAAGTTTTTTTATTAAATATATAATATGAAATTAAATTATGCTTTTATGAATTTTATTTTCGATTATAAAATTAGTTAAAATTTTTATGAAAAGGAAATTAAATTCCAAAATTTATTTAATTTTTTTTCTGGTGAATCATGATGTGAGACATAAGGTGAGTTTATTTAGCTTTTATGACATTTGAGGTAGAAAACGTCAATGTAAAAGGCTAAGGGGTACAAAACGTCAATGTAAACGCTAAGGGGGAAAAAATGTCATTAAACATAAACGGGAAAAAAATATGAAATTAAATTATACTTTTATGCTTTTTTTTTTCCATTATAAAATAAGTTCAACATTTTTATGACAAGGGAATTAAATTCTAAAATTTATTTATTTATTTATGTTTTGTCTGCTGAATCATGGTGTGAGACATAAAGTGGAGTTATTTAATTTTTATGACATTTATTACAAGTTGGTGGTTGGAGACTTTTGGGGTAGAAAATGTCAATGTAAAAAAGGCTAAGAGGTAGAACACGTCAATGTAGGCTGCTAACGGGTAGAAAACGTCATTAAAAACATAAAAGGGAATAAAACGTCATTGCCAATGACGTTTTCTTCCCTATATTTTTAAACGTCTGTTAGGGGTCCGTTAAAAATTCTTGTTAAAAAACGTCATTAGAAATGACGATTTTAAAAACGTCATTACTAATGACGTTTTTGGAAAAAAATATTCAACTTGAAATTGTCATTTAAAATGACGTTTTTACATTAGAAGGTGTCATTGCAAATGACGTTTTCAAAAAGAAGTTGGGTTTGGGAAATAAGTTCAAAACTGACTAGGTTATGAAAATAAGATTTTAAGGGGACCGGGTTTGGGGAAAGCCTCTTGCTAGATGCATTTAATAAGAAATCAAAAGATAAAACATTAAGCATAAATGAAATGCACAAAAAATAACTTCAAATGATTTATACATGTTCATTACCTCTTATTAAAGAGTGAATGAGAAACTAATAACTCTTCATGGCTTTGAGAAAACTAGAAAAATGAGTGATTCTCATCCCTCCAAGTAGAGGTGTTACAAGGTAAAATAAACTACACAATGAGCCTATCTTTGACGAAGAATGAGTGAATCACTTTCTACCCTTCAAGGCTACAAGAGAGCTAGAAAGGTAGAAGAGTTTCACTCCTCTAAGTAAAGAAAGAAGATTTTACAATGAAAGCTAATGAAACTAATAATGAAAGTAGAAGAAAACTAGTTACTCTTGGAGGGTTTCTTCCTCTTCCAAAAAATCTATTTATCTCTCTATATCTCTCCCTATTGTAAGTCCAAAGAGGAGGTATTTATAGGCAAGGAAGAGGGGTAAAGAAGAGTAAAAGAATAATTCTAGGTACTCAAAGTCCAAGTGAAAGCCCCAAGATCTTGATGAAAAATCAACTATTCTACAACTTGTCTAGGGAATACGTTTGAACGTGAGATGGCGTTCGAACATTGACTCATGTCTTCTTTGATGTGCGTTCGAACACTGACTAGAGTTTGAACGTAATACTCAAGTGGTTTTTCTATCCTCCACAATGAAGAGTTGCAACACGCCACGTGTCATCACCCTACCAATGTCTTGAGGGTCCTCAAATAATTCAAGGTAACGTTCGAACGTGGTACTCAAGTTGTTCTTCTCAGGGAGTAGTCTGCAACATGCCACTTGTCATCACCCTAGCAATCTTATGGGGGCCCTCAATTATTTCAAGATGGGCGTTCGAACATGGATTGGCATTCCAACATGGATGCCTTTCTTCAAACTTCTCCAATTTTATTCCAGAATACGTAGGTGTTGCATGAAAGTGTGATAGTATTGACTTTTAGGCCTTTGCACAACTTTCCCCTAAAAAGTTATCATTTAAAATTTATCAAAGCATAATTATTCTTGTAAAAACATAGTAAAATACTATTTTTCACTATTCAAAATATGTATCCCTGAAATTTGCCAAACAACTATAGCGAAGGGGCATAGGAACAGTATAGGCACATCATTTTCATGTGGGTCGTCACACAACAAGCAATCAATTTCCACTTGTTTCCTCCTTCATAAATTGCATTGAGTAGGTAAAATATCTTTAAAGGCCCTCCATGCAAAATGTTTGATTTTATTGGGAATTCTTAGAGACCAATTAAATTTCCTAGGCTATTTTCCAGTGCTATTGCCTGAAGCTTCACCACCCTTATATCCATCAATTATGCATTGATCCCTAATCAAGTGATATGCACTCCTAACTATAGAATGAGTATAGTGCCATACCAGTCGATTAGGTGGCAATTGATTGTAGATGGGCATTGAGGCAATCAAATCTGCTTCAAAGGGCAGAAACATCTGATGAAGTAGATCCCTTTTCCACATTTTGTGCGCTATTAATAAAGAAACTTACAGTACTATTATCTTCCAGATATTGTAAGGGGCTAATACCTTTGAAAGTGGATGGTTTGAGAATCCACTTGTCTTCTTTAATCCAGACACTATGTCCATCTCCTATTCTCCATTAGACCCTAGCTGCAATAACTCTTATTGAGTCCAAAATGTTGCGTCAAGTTAGTGATAGATTGATCCCCAATTGAGCTTCCATCAAAGATGTGGAAAATATTTGACCTTTAACACCCTAAATAGCAAGAACTCAGGATTTTGGAGCAAACACCAAAATATTTTGCTAATAAAGCCATGTTGAAAGTGCTTAGACCTCAGAATCCTAATCTTCCCTTCAATTTCGCCACACATAATTTATCCTAGGAAATCCAATGAATCTTTCTATCATTTTTTCCCTGACCCCTCCAAAACTTAGCTAACATGCTATTTAACTCTTTGCATAACAAATTAGGAAGTTTGAAAATGACATTACATATGATGGTATAACTTGCGCCACTGCTCTATAAGAATTTCTTTCCCCACTTCTGACTGTAACTTCTCTTTCTACCCTTGGATTTTTTTTCCAAACCCCTATATTTGATGGATTGAAAAGTCTCCCTCTTGGATTTTCTGACAATATAAGGGAGCCTCAAATACATCTCGTGAGACTCTACCACTGGAATTCCCAAAATTGTCGCTATTCCACTTCTTTCAGGCAACCCTAAGTTACAACTAAACACCACTATAGACTTTCAAAGATTTACCATTTGTCTTGAAACCCTCTCATATGAATTGATACACTCTCGGATAATTCCCCCATTTGAATCATTAGCTTGTGATGAAAGGGGGGCACACTGAGCAAGTACGAGAAATTGGCCCCGCTCTGCTTTCTTAAAAGCAAGGACCACTACAAGAGGTCAAACCAAGGACCTATGGACGTCGGGGCTCGCCCCCAGTCAATATTGGATCAAACAATAGGGGGCCAATGACAATACTATCATCTGCAAACAATGGATGGCAAAAACTGGGCGACCATGGCCTATTTTTAATCCTTGTATACGTCCTCCTTTGACTGACAACAATGCCGAAAGGTCCTCTAAACAGCAATGGAAGAGGTATAGTGATAACGGGTTGCTTTGCCTTAACCCTTTTCGAGGGTGGAAGTAACCTATGTACTTTCCATTCATAACCACAAAGTAGGAAATTATTTTCACGCAAGTTATGATGTGCTTGATCCAACTTTTGTCAACCCTAGCTTGTACATAACTTTTTCCAGAAAGCCCCATTCTAGCCTTTCATATGCTTTGCTCATATCAAGCTTTATAGACATAAAACCCTTAGCCCCTCTCATTTTCCCATTCAAATGATGGTTTAATTCATTTGCAACTAGAACATTATCAGTAATAAGCCTACCTGGCATAAACACCCTTTGATTCTTTGAAATGATATCTAGGCAGGATTTTCTTCATACGATTGGCAAGGACTTTTGCTATAAATTTGTAGATTACGTTACATAGGCTAATGAGATGAAATTGGGTCATATATTCTGGTTATGCTATTTTTGTTATCAAACTATATGAGGGTAATTTAGTTTGGGACAAAAATTACTAGATTGAAGAAAATCCAAGACAATTCAAACAACATCATCTCCCGTCACATCCCAAAAATTCTAGTAGAATTTCGCAGTCATGCTGTCAGGACCAGGTGCTTTCTTTGGATGAATTTGATAGACAACTTCTGTTATTTCCACAATTGTGAATTCCTTGAGTAGGAATTGGGTCATCTGCATACTAACTTTACTTGGGACACATTGGATGACTTCTTCCTTGTTTGAGAATGATTCATGATTTGAAGCAAACATATTCTGGAAATAGTCTACTACGATGTTCTCCCTCTGCCTTGGATCTGTAACCCGAATGCGTCTATCATCTTTCAATCCCGTATCTTGGTTCCTCTAGCGTCTCATAGTAGCTTGGGCATGAAAGAACTTCATGTTACGATCACCTTCATTGAGCAGTAAAGCTTTCGACCTTTGCCTTCACATTACTTCTTCTGCCTCTAGCAGCTGGTGGGGATCGTGGATGACTTTCAACTCCATCTTCTCTTTACTATCCACTTCCATATCTTGAAGTTGACTAATTCTTTGTCTATTCATCTACAATTGGTGCCCAATATTTTGGAACTTGTCTTTATTCCATTTGAGTAGTCCAACTCTGCAGGCCCGTATTTTGTCTATGAACTGTTGTGCTAACGAGAGGTTCGTAGAAGCCTTCCAACAAGACCAAACAATTTCAGCAGATGTGGGGGGTCTTTTGCCCACATAGATTCAAACATAAATCTCCTTTTCTTTAAATCTTTTACCTCCTCATCACCTCCAGACGTTATCTTAAGAAGAAGTTGATAGTGGTCTGAATCTGTACTTGGTGTGTTGACGACTTTACTCTTTGAAAATTGTGACATCCACGTTATGGAAACCCAGACTCTGTATATTCTCTCTTTCATAGAGAAAGGGTGTATACTACCATTCCACCAAGTATGTGCCTGACCTTCATAACCCAAGTCCTCCAATTGACATTCATCAACCTCTCTTTGATAGTCGCGCATTTGCCAAACAGTCTCTTAGCACCCCTCCATTTCTCATCATTGACCAATTATCTCATTAAAACATCCCCCACACACCCATGGGATATCAGATCTCACATGTAATTTGGCCAATAATGACCAAGAATGTTTTCTCAAAGGTGCATTTGGGTGGCCATAAAAACAAATGAAATGCCATTGAGAAACACTTCATCCATTAACAATAGCTTCAATATGAAAATCAAAGAAGCTTTTAATATTTACCTGAGTATCTCATTTCCATAGTAGCAGTAACACATCTGATTTTCCTCGAGTCAACAACATGGCCTTGAGAAAAGCCTATACTCTGTTGAATTAGTTTGAACGCTCTTGTCCCTAATCTTTGTTTCCATGAAGAAGATTAGGTTGGGTCCTTCTCTATTCACTAGATCATGAAGGATTCTAGTTGTCTGAGGGTTCTCAAGCCCTTGCCAGTTCCAGATCACACCTATCATGGCTATTAGCGGGGCTGAACATCGACCTCTGCCATTGATTTCTGATATGTTGCATTCATTCTGATGCATTGGTCCTTTTATTTATCACACCCTCTCCTTCCTTCAGCTAATCTATAACTTTCCTTTTAAACCCCATTGGCGTTTCCCTGATTTTCTAACTCTCTGGACTTGAAGGAGACTTAGTAACCTTAGTCCACATCCCCTTCTAATTCTTTGTCAAAACTCCTAATTTACTATAGTTTCAACCTGATTGAGATGGGGCCATATTTTGGGACACCTGTTTAGGTCATATTGAGACCAACTTTACAAGTTGGCCCATTCCCAATTTGGATGATTTAGAAGCCTTGGATGTTAGGCACACCTCTACTAGGTCAACCTCACGTGGGATATCCACTATAAGACTCGACCCAAGGACATCTTGCCCAATTCCCACCTTTTTTCTCTCAAAATCACTTTTTCCTTTCCTCAACATCTACTGAATCTCCATTATCACAATGTATTGTGGTAATTGTGCCTAGATTGCGACCTTGATTCCTCAAAACTTCCATATTCTCAGTTGAAATGTTCCCCACGTTAGTGCCGCATTGCTTGACAAAATTCCTTGTTGTTTTCTAACCTCTAAGCATGTATAGTATATGAATGAAAGGAAGTGTCACTCTCTTAGGGATGATGTCAAAAGAAAGGGCAACAGAATGGTGGATGAATGAGATTTCACATGTGAGTATGTGTAAACAAAAGTGCTCCCCAAGCGCAAGGAGACTTTCATGGATCGTGTTTTACTTGGTGATATTCCAAGGTCGTTTCCACGAGGAATGAAGTAAACCGAGGGGAAGGTGATTTTGGGAGAAAGAAAGTGTAAATCTTTGATTGTTGGAAGTTGTTTGGTGAAGTTGTTTTGATGCTAGTAAAATGAAAAATAAATGTTGGCAAATCCAAGAGCTCACTCCAATAGGAATACCGTCTCAACTCGAAACCCTCCTTCAATAGAGCATGAATGAACGATTGACTCATGGAAAGTTAGGGGTAAAATTGGTGAATACCTAAGCATAAACCGTGACTAGGCCTACGGAATATCAAAGACTCACCAAGTTATCCACCCTCAACTCAGTCAAACCGAACCATTGAACTCTGAAAGAGAGGAAGAGAATGAGTTGAAATGGTATACCCAAGTGGAGGTTCCTCTTGGTTTTGCCAACTAAGAGATTTAGCTATTAATGCTTAAAATAAATATAATAATATGATGAGAAAATATTATGAAGAATTAAAGACTATATCTAAGCATAAACAAAATGCATAAATATAACTTCCGGATAATCTCCTCTTACTAAAGATTGGATGAGAAACTACCCACTCTTCATGGCTTTGTTAAGCTACCTACAAACTCCAATTAAAAGATGTGTATATGTAAGATCAGAATGAGTTAGCAATAGAATCATTGAGACACACGTCCCTTAATTTTGAATTGTTTCACGAACACTTCTCTGTCATTGGTACGTACTTTATACAAAAATAAACACTTGTTACATTGGTATTTGAAATTCCCTGTGTAGTAGGAATGGTCATTCTAGTAGCAAGAATTGTTATATAACAAATATTCCACTTTATCACCTTCCATGGATAGCTTTGATGTCTCAAACCTCTCTTAGAATGCTCTCAGTAAAAAAAATTCACTCCGATTATAGTGACTTGTCTCTCAAAGGACATGTGATCAGAGGATGGTCAATCGAAGAATCACATGCACAGTTAGAAATGGAGCGAAAGTCTTAAGAAAGTAGACTAATCATGTTTTTGGCATAATCTCATGGAAGAATATCAATGCAATTAAAAAATACTATTTAACATATCCCATTTTTTGGTCGACAACACACACATACATCAGACTTGAGATCAATTAGGACTTTGTATAGGTTGTACTGTGACTAGAGGTCAGTGGCTAACTAAATGACGTCAATGGTATTCAAAAGCTATCCCCTTTTTAATATAGTGTAGCACACCACTTTCTTGTTTTTCGATCTTTTGCCTAGAAATGATATTTCTTTCTTTCATTTTTTCTCATTTTTCACTTTCTTGGCAATTCCCTGTTTTTTTTTTCACCAATTCTTCATTGAACAGTAGCCACCATCCTCTTTTCTGTTTTTCTTGCCTTTTTATGTCATACCAATTTATAAGAGGGTGCAAAAAATGGATAGCAAGGTATGTTAAGTGTATTTTCTTGTGGCTCGGTTATCATATGGATTTTTTTATTTTTCGAAAAGAAATCATCATTCATTGAAGGCTTAAACATGACTAACTAGGGATATAATTTCGTAGAAACAATGGCTAAGGCTCAAAATCAACTCAAAGATGACCTAAAATCCTTTCTCAAGTATGTGTCGCATGCAAAGGTTCCATGTGGGATATGTCAATAGATTACTTTAGTTGCATTTAATTAAAACAAGTTTAATGAGATTATTCAATAATTGAAAGTGAAAGAACTTACTTGAGTAAATGTTGATTGTCTCTCAGAAAGCATCGCAAGGCTCAAAACTTACCATGATATTATTTGTTATCTCCACTGGTTATGTCAGGTTTCCAAAGAATGTCAGTTATATTATAATTCTATTTTCGAGTCTGGTCATTCTGTACCTTAAGATTAACAAATACTAATGTACATTTGACATTTAAGCATAGAGAAAATACTATTTTTCAAGGAAATGTGGCTTTTTTTTTCACTCGAATAAAAATCAAAATTATTTACATACACATTTATCTATGAAAATTGAAAAAAAAAAACCTAAATGCACACATTGAACTCGAAAAACTATGTCATCTTAGGATAAGTCCCTACCTACGCTACAGGTTGGCATTTTAGGACAATCCTTACTTGGCCAACATCTTTATTCAACAAAAAGACTTTGTACATAAACAAATATTTACACACAAAAAAATCGGACCATTAACCTTCATCCCCAAAACACATTTTTTCACAACTTTGTCATTATTAGTCAAAATTTAATCTGAGTCATCGCTTGTGTCTATGTCATTATTAGTGACCTTTCCCACTTCTTGTTGCACATAATGTGAAAGTCCCGGACTGGTATACTCTGCCCATACATTATCCAGTTTAATCGATCAGTTGCACGACCCGAAATTGGTTCAGAGCACTGATTGTATTTTTTTATGTGAAAACATCTACCACATTGTTTACAAGTACCCAGCCGTTTGACACGACAACGTTTAGCAAAAGTACTTCTGCCACACAATAGTTTTGCTTGTGCTTCTCGGATTTCAATTTTTCTGACTACTCTTGCTTTTCTCATGATCACAACATGCACATCAGATGGAAATGTGCGCAAGACTCCCAAACTAAACTAAAAAATTTTAACATCCATGCTTTTCTATGCTTTAAAACTCACTATCTGGTTCTTTAATGTCTGCCAGTCACAAAGATGATTGAAGCTACATGTAATCATGAAATATAAGCAAAAATGCTGTAAAAAAATACGCAATCCAGAACAATCTTTTTTTTTTTTAAAAAAAATACGAAACTATAACAAACTAGAATCGTAGATCACACACCCCAACCTAAATTGAACATTGTCCCCAATGTTTCGAATTTACCAGTGTGTGGAGTTTGGAGATCAAGTTGTAGGGTAGAGATCTGTTCAACTGTCGAAACCTATAAAAAAAATACACAAATTAATTTTCTTTACGCAGATTTGGGTTTTCACTAGGACGAAAATCCTTGATTTTAAATGCAGACAAAAGAAGAAGAGCAATGTACAAATAGAGTAAACAAATGCCGATCATGAGACAAACGATTGGGTCTTCGGGGAATATGGTCATGGGATTATTGGGAGTTGGGTCGTGTTATAGAGAATAACACAACATAAATAAGAAGAAGAAGAAGAAGAAAACAAAGAAAGAGGGAAAGGTGGTGGGTGTAGAGATCTGTTTAGCTGCCGAAATCAACAAACAAAACACAACAATTAACCAACTCGAGGAAGATTTGGGTTAGGCTGGAAACCCCTCACCCTAAGTGTGAGTAGAAAAAGAGCACCCATGAACAAATACAAACATATAAGACAAATTATTAAACAAAGGACTGGGTCGTCGGCGTATATGGTCATGGATTTGCAGGGGTGGTTTGTTTTTACAGAGAACAAAGAGAATGACGAAGAAGAAGAAGAAGAAGAAAAGAGGAAGAAAGAAGAAAAAATAAGGGAAGAAGAAGGGGAGGCCAATAACCGGTGGATGGGAGAAAAAAAAATTTTGAAAACCTTATAAAGGCATCCCATTTTTATTTTTTTTTTCTATTTTTTAAATTTTTTAGTGTCGACAGCCGCATATCCGTGCGGAATATTCCCTTTTTTTTTTTAGTGTTGGCAAGCTCGAGTGTCGGCAGACGCGAATATCCGCTCGAAATATTCCCACAAACATTGGTGTAAGATGCAAATAGTGCAACCTCACCCCCCCCCAACTTGATTCATGCATTGTTCTCAATGAAAC